GTTGCACTGGGCAGGGCCCAATCAGGTGACAAAAACCACACAGTCATTTGATCAGGTAATGTTTAACATAAAGAATGATTTACTGTCCCATGATATTGGTGTAACAAAGGAGTGGCTAGTACCGAGTATGCTGGAGAATGAGGAAAAGCTGTTATCAAGAGCAGGCGCGACACACAAGGCCAAGCTGCAGCGTCAGGTCTGGGACTTGGACATTGCTGGGGAGAATGCAGCTGTGGGTTAACGGATGGCAGAGAAGACACCAGGGTGCCATGGTGTCGGCAGCTGTTGTTGGAAATCCACCTTTTAAAGGCCCAAGGAAAGTCATTCACAAACAGTCGTCTCACTGAAGGCACTGGGCACAAAGCCAGCTAGAGAGGCACTTGGAGGTGTCTAAGTTACCCACGATGCTTCTTGGGGTCCAGGGATGATGAGAGCGTGACACGTCTGGAGGTTGTTACCATGCAGATGACTGGTTTGGAGTGTGCTGGCTGCCCAGGGCACAGAACCCACAAAAGGGTGGCTTTCATAAACTGAAATTTATTTTGACATATTAAGAAGCTGGAAACCTGAATTCAAGGTTCCAGATCTAGAGGAAGGCTTTCTCTCCCTGTGTCTCCTGATTCTAAGACCTTCCCAGAATGGGAGCCTAAGTCCGAGGGACGTACTCTGCTCCTAGCTCTTAGTTTTTCAGGATACCAAGGTCCCTTTTCTCTGCTAACTTCTCCCTCCCTTTCTTGCTACACCTCAGAGGAACTGTGATTAGTACCCTACACTAAGCCCTTATAGCTGATTGGCTGGCTGAGTCTTCAGACCACATCCTGGTATCATTACATCACTGCATCTCAAAACTAACCAAATTCATTGCTGCTGAGTGGACTCCAGCTCAGCACCCTCCGTGAGGTTTCAGAGGCTGCACGTCTTAACAGGAGGAAACTGCCTACCTTCTCCCAAGGAGCCCGTGGTAGATTTGAACCTCTGGAGACTCAAAGCCTTCTGGTGACTAACTATGCTACTGGAGCTCCTTACGCAGCTATCAAATTAAATCATAACTTCCAATTAACTGAGGATCAGAGTCCAACCAAGCTTACAGATATTTTTTTTACGCATACATGTAGCTTGGTGAGGCCACAGAACTGTCTGAGGAGTGCCTCCTACTTCCAGATCAGCCTCTAGGGTGGGGTCTGGATCCAGGAACCTCATTTCTACCAAGAATGGGCTCATTCAAGGTCACCACAGACCAGATGGCCTTGTAAAATCAGCAAAGAGAATTTAACATAAAAGCCAGAGTCATGACAAACTGATTCAGACCATGAACACAGAGCCACACCTGAGTTCTGCAACGACTCGCCTGCCATTGCCCCAGTTCTCTAGTGCTGCCATAGCAATGATTCCACGGTAGAATTTATTCTCTGCAAGTTCTGTTGTTGTGTACCAGGGAGTTGGAACCAACCCACAGCTGATCCTCCAGGCAGTATATCACACAGGAGACTGTCCATCTTTCTCCCACAGAGCAGCTGGTGAATTCAAACCACATACCTTCGCGTCGACAGCACAATTTCTTAATACTTACTACTTACAATTTCTTACTACTAAGTCACGAGAGCTCCTGGGAGTTTGGGAAGAAGTCAAAGTTCATGGGTCCAGGTCTAGAAGTCTTTCTCTGTTGGTTCTAGAGGAAAGTTTTTGTCTCCTTCAGCATCTGCAGGTCCAACATTTCTTAGACAGCCCCACGTGTCAAGGAGCTTCCCAGGGCAGGGGCCTTGGTCCAATCTGACACACTTCACTCCTGGTGACTCTTTCTTGGTAGTACTGAGGGCCCCTCTTCCCTGCTTGCTTCCCCTCCTAAAGAGGACAAGCAGAGATTGCCCACCTTTCTCCCCCAGAGCCCAGACTGTGAGAGAAATGCATCTTAGAGTTGGCATCAAAATTCCCTACAGACACTGCCACCAGAGCTCCTTTACTTTAAAAAAAATTATATTGTGTATGTGTGTGTGTGTGTGTGTGTGTGTGTAACATCAAATCGGATCTTACTAGTACAAGAGGAGAGTGCCCCTCCTTCTCCAGCAGAGCATCTGGTGGATTCAAACCATGTACCTCTAGCATTGCAGTGCAGCTTCTTGCCACTAGGCCGCCAGAGCTGCTAGAGCTCCTTTTCTCATTAATAATTTCTTTTTTTAAAAATTGGTAGTTTGTATTTCTATGTATGTGTTTCTTTAATGGGCCCATGGTGATATTGGTTGAGAGCTTGGCTGCCTCAAGGTCAGCGGTTCAAACCCACAACCCACTCTGTACAATAAAGATGTGGCAACCTGCTTCTGTAAAGATTTACAGTCTAGGAAATTTTTTAAGAGGCAGTTCTGTTCTATAGAGTTGTTATGACTAAGAATCACATTGACAGCAATATATGTGTATTTAATCTGTTTTACAATCACTGGGAACTGGAGACATGGTGTATTTTATATTGCACAGCTAACCCAAAGATGACCCAGAAGGTCAGCAATTCAAATCCATCAGTTGCTCCAAGGGAGAAAGAAGGTCACCTCACAAAAAAATCTGCAGCCTCAGAACCCAATGGAGGACTGCTAGGAGCCGGGGACAGTCTGGTCTCTTCACTGGAGAATTTCTGAGTGTTTTCGCAAAGAGATTTACAGGGACAACATCTGTGGGAGTGTTATTAGTTCTTCTCCCCGACCCCTCCCAGCAGCAGAGATTGAAGACATTCTGGTACAACGTGAAGTGACAATCCCATGGGTGTTTTATTAAAAACACTCCCCCAGGACTTGCTCTTTTAAGGAACCACCTAAATTTGCCCTCAGAGCTAGGTATGTAGGCCACGCCCCCACCAGGGATCCCACTGCTACGAATTAAAACCTTAAATCACAATTTAGTCAGTCAGAGCCGGAAACTCAGCGAGACCAATTTTCTGAACTCTTCTTTTTTTGTTTTCTCAATTAGAGAGTTATTTTCTGCTTATAAAAAAAGAAAATCCCCAAAGAAACTGCTGCAATTTTTGTGCAAAGAGAAAAAGATCTGTACTCCTTAAAACAAATCCACAGTGGCCTTGTTCCCATTATCTCAGGATAGACGTGAAGGGGTTCATTCTGGTTTCGACCCTCTGCTGAGTTCTATCTCACATACATTTCAACCAGACCCCTAGGTGATTCTTACATAGACATAAGACCTAGGGATCCCTGAGAATCTGGGGATCTGGTTAAAATGCAGATTCTGATTCAATACAGCTATTCAGTTTGAGGACTAAGATGCACTTGATTCAAGCCATGATCTTTTCAGTCACTTGCTATACATCTCAGAACTGTGGTGTTGGAGAAGAGTGCTGAATCCCCCATGGACTGCCAAAAGAACAATCCTTGGAAAAAGTTCAGAGGGCTCCTTGGAGGCAAGATGATAAAGCTTCATCTCACATACTGTGGGCATGTTCTTAGGAGACACTATTCCTTAGAGAGGGACATCATGCTTGGGAAGGTGAAGGAACGGCAAAAGAGAGGAAGATCACCCTCCAACCAGGTGAACTGCCGCAGTGACGGCAGCAAAGGGCTGTAGTGTGTCAGAGATTGTGAGGATGGCACAGGATAGGCCAGGGGCCAGCTCTGTTGTTCACAGGGTCACTATGAGTCAGACTAGGAGGCACATAACAACAACAACCTTTCTCAACCGGATCAAACAGGAATGAACCAGTTTGAAGCCCTAGTTCAGGAAGGATAATAAGACCTGGGAGGCAGCCACTGCAGAGTCCCTGAGTAGAAAGGTTCCACCTCTGTGGGAGTGCCACTTGGATGAGGACAGATTACCGGAACTTTCTGCTCACCTGGCCTCCAGTTTATCCAAGACACGACGGAAGGATGGGAACCTGGACTGCTGCCTGTCACCCCAAACCACCACATGCATCAAGTCCTCACGTTTAGCATCTCACAGCCAGAGGACTGGAGGACCTGCAGATACTCTGAATTTGGGCAAGCAGGAGGTTGCTAAGGTTGGTTAAGAATAATTAATAAACACATCAAAATACACACCTGTTCAGCAGTTTCTAGAATAACTCTGTGCCATCAGTGCCTTTTTCGTTTTTAACTGTTTCTCTCAATGCAAATGAGTCATATTCGGTTGCAGAAATCTTATTGGTGGACAGTGACTAGAACAAATGTAAATCACAAGCTAAAAATAATAACCAGCAGTTCCGAGGAGTCATCCACAACTCATGGCGCTCTGTGAATGATGGAGAAGGAAACGCTGGGTTTTCCTGGCTGGTTGTTAAGTGATCATCAGGCCCTTCTTCCTAGTCTGTTAGTCTGGAAGCTCCACTGAAACCTGTTCTGAATTCTAGCAGTACACAATCTCCACAGACAGGCTGTGCATGAGGAGTCAAAGTGAGTCTGCACGGAAGGTGAAAATTCTACTACAGAAGGCGGTCCATCTAACTTTAACTCACAGGCCCCTCCCCATTCAATCCCTCTCAGAAATCCTATAAAGAACAGAACTGCTCCGAAGGGCAGACGAGGCTACCAATCTTTAACAGCAGCAGATAGATCTTTCACCAGCAAAGCAGCTGGTGGGTTCAAAGTGCCCAATTTTGGGCTTAACTACATCGCCACCAGCGTCCCTTTGTTTACCAACCACTTTCAGTCTTTTATGCAGACAGATGTATTCGAAGCAGGCTTTTCTCCAGGGAGGCTAGATAACTTCTTGGAAGCTGACGCTTTTCACTGTGACTGTACTAAGTACCTTGTAATGTCAACAAGTGTCCTGATGAAATACTGGAAACTGAGGCAGATTCTCTGGAGCCCTAAGTGTCCTACAAGGAACCCCTCACTGAGAAGACACTCCGTTTTCGACTTTGGCCGAGATGAAGAGCATGCTTGGCGGAATTTATCCAGGCGGCTGGAGTCCAGCCGACCGTGGACTTGCACCAGGATGCCAACAGGGTCCCGGTGGGAGGAGACGCGGGATTCCGGCTTTGTGATGTCATCGCGAGGCCACGCCCCCAAATGAGGAGACAATCGCGGCCACGCCCCCGGCAGAAGCACAAGCGCGGGCGGCCGGCCTGCCGGGCGGCGGCGATGGACCAGGACCCCGGCGCGGGCTCCACCTTGTCCCGGGTCCCGGCTCGGGCTCTGCCTCCGGACGCCGAGGCGCAGACGCCGGCGGGCACCGACGAGGAGCTCTACGACTGTGTCGACTACTACTACCTGCGTGACTTCCCTGCCTGCGGGGCCGGACGCAGCAAGGGCCGGACACGGCGGGAGCGAGAGCTGCGCACCAACCAGCAGGTCCCCGGCGGCCACGAGCGCCACATCATGCAGAAGCAACTGAATGCGCAGCGCAAGCGGCGCCAGCGCCAGCTGCAGCCCGGGCCGCGCAGTCGCCTCCCCTGAGCGCGGTGGATGGCCCCTGGGACTCGCCCCCAGGCAGGACTGCCCCTGCTGAGGTCCCGCGCCCCGCCGACCCACAGATTGCAGTTGAAGAGGGTAAAAACTCTTGAAACTTTCATGCTGACCCGCTAACCGCTCGGCAGTACTGCGGAAGAAAGGCCTGCCAGTCAGCGTCCTTTACAGTTGTCTGCCATTGCATTCCAATGCCTGTATGGGACTAAGTAGAACTGCTCCTCGGAATTATTTTAGGCTGTCAGTTTTCACAGGAGCAGAGCATGGGGTCTTTTCTCCAGCAGAGTAGCTAGTGGGTCAAACCACGAACATTCTGGTTGGCAGCTGAGCACCTTACCCTTGTAACTGTGAGGTTGGTTCCATGGCACGGATTCTGACTCATGGTGACCCTCTCTGGGTACAGCCGATCTGACATCCTGCCCAATCCTGCGCCATCCTCACCATGTCCACTGTGCTCCAGCCCGATGTTGCCAGTTAACTCGCTCCATCTCATCAAAGGCCTTCCTCTCCTTTGCTGACCCTCCACTTCTCCCACTCCAGGGACTGGTTCCTCCTGACAATATGTCCAAAAGCAGTGAGAGAAATCTCATTTTCACCTCCACTTCCGGCAGGACAGGCTGCTTTGTTCTGTTGGCTGTCCCCACGTGGTACAGTCAGTACTCTGGGTCGACACCACAACCAAAACGCAACAGTTCTTTTCACGTGTTAGTCATTGTCTCACTTTCTAATGGGATTGATGTTAGCCAGAGTCAGTTTATGGGTAACAACAACGTGTGGGTAGCAGAGGGCTAGAAAACGTCTTTTAAAAAGAACCCATTTCTAATGCTCAGGCTTAGACTAAAGAGAGTAACCAATTATTGCCTTTGTCTGATTTTCTACAGGAGACCACTCGAAGGCCCTGCTAAAAGTATTTTCTCCGACTCCGACTGTAACTCTGGTCCTCAGAGGCATGAATCCGTGTACATCAACAGAACTTCTCGTCAACATGGCTTCAGTTGACTGCCCCATTACTATTCCTTTCTGATTGCTAATTAAGTAGGGTTTGTGCCTTTTTTTAGGATTTTTAATTAAACGAGAGCAACAAGAATGGCTTCCTCACTTTCATGTTGTTGTGTACGCTTGTGTCCAAACCAATTCATAGCTGGCCCTCCAGTGGGTTTTCAGAGGCAGTAAATCACAGGGAGGAGGCTGGTGGATTTGAATCATGTGCCTTCATGTTAGTAGCAAAGCTCCTAACCTCTAGGTCACTAGAGGTTTCAGTCTGTCTGCCATCCTTTGGGACAGAGATGAGGCAATCTGCTTCCTTTAGGATTGACTGCCTTGGAAACCATGTAGGTCAGGTCTGCTCTGCCCTGCAAGGTGACAGTGAGTTAGAATCAGTGGCTTTTAGTTCCTTGTTCATATTTTGTACTTTTTAGATCAGCATTTGCAATCATTAACTTCTTGAAATGTTTTTCATTGTTTTTGTTCAAACATTCTTCTAGGTCATATAGCCCTGGTGTGTCCACTTGCCGTACAGAGGTAACTTGTGGTTGCTGTGAACCTGAACACTGTGACACTGATGTGTCAGATGCATTAATGGTTAACAATGGCGGACAGTGTTTGGTGGAGCTCCCCGATTAAAACAAGCTTGGAAGCAACACTTCTTTAATCTGATATATGCAAGTCACTATATTCACATAAGTCTTTTCTGCTATCCACAACAGAAACAGCATTTATATTACACGGAATATAATGTCTTTAATTAAAAGAAGAATTGCACTGGGGAAGTCTGCTGTCTGGGACCCCTCCAAAGTGCTAAGGAACAATGATGTCAATGTAGAGACTAAGGTGCACCTGATCCAGGTCATGGTGTTTGCAATTACTTGCTATGCATCAGAGAGCTGCACAATGACTAAGGATGACAGAAGAAGAATTAATGCCTTTGAGTTGTGGTGCTGGAGGAGAGTATTGAACATACCACAGACCACAGACCACTATGAGAACATATAGGTCTTAGGGTGAAACCAAGTTGCTCTTTGGAGGCAAGGATTTTTTTTTAAATTTTATTTTATTATTTTTGTGTGCATGTACCGTCAAATCAGATCTGACTGGTACAGGAGAAGATTGCCCCTCCTTCCCCGGCAGAGCATCTGGTGGATTCGAACCATGCGCCTCTAGGATTGTAGTTGCAGCTCCTTGCCACTTGGAGGCAAGGATTTTGAAGCTCCATCTCACATACTTTGGACACATAGTCAGAAGGTACCAGTCCTTGGAGAAGGACACCATGGTTGAAAGGGTGGAGGTAAAGTGCAGGAGAGGAAGACCCTGGATGAGATGGACTGATTCAGTAACTGGGGTAATGGGAGTAGGTGTATTAGAGTCAGTGAGACTAGCTCAGGATAGGGCAGGGTTCAGGGTTGGTGTACATAGGTTCACTATAACTCACAGGCAACTTGATGGCACATAACAAGGTCTTTAATATCTTAGTGCTCCCACAACACCTGCTATAAAATAAAGCCAATCTGGATGTACAGAAACCTCTGCCAGTAGGTCCATCCCAACTCAGAGTGAGCATATGGGGCACAGAACTGCCAGCCCCCTGTGGTTTCCAAGGCTGTAATTCTGTAGGAGCAAACTGCCTCAACCTTCTCCTGTGGAGCAGCTCATGAATTTTTCATTAGTGACCCAGGACTTAGTCCACTTCCCTAATCCTCAGAGGGACCTAAGCCACATGAAATCAGCACTCTTAAAAGTGCTCTTTTGTTCTTGCTAGATTTTGCTCATTTCACTTAGTAAAATTTTAAAACATTTAAATCATAGATATGTTATTGTTATGGGTCATCAAGTCTCCTGTGACCCATTGTTACTGAACCCCGGGGGTTCTTTCCATAGTCAAATGCCAAAAGACAAACTAAGCACTTTATCTGTGGAGGACAGCAGGTCAGCCTCAAAGACGCCTCCAGGACTGGGAGAGGTCACCAGGCTTTTATACCAGGGTGACACCCCAACTTACTTCACAATAAACTTTTGTTGGTAAAATCAAAGAATTTTTATATCTGAAAGAAAACTATTCACATCCAGATACTCCCTTTCCCAGGGAACAGGCAGATAAAGTTACAATTTACATATGATTAGGAAAAAGCTTCAAAGAGATAACAGCTATCTAGGAGAAGCATCTCCTCTTCTGATAAACTGATTAAAGAGAGAACACTAAGAATTGTAAGGTCAAGCAATTAGCCTTTCAAGCTGGAGAAAACTGATGCCAGTTTTAGAACTATACAGTTCCATAACTGATACATAAATAGAGAATTCTGAACTTAGCAGAAACACCCCGTCACCATAATGACCCGACATACAATAGCCCTAAACCCAGCTCTATGCTGTGCCAAACTTACTGTCTCTGACTCACCTATCCTTATCATCCCAGTCAATGAACCAATATATCTTACTGAGGGTCTTCCTCTCTTACACTGTCCCTCCACCCTCCCAAGTATGATGTCCCTCTCCAAGGACTGGTCCCACCTTGCAACATGTCCAAAGTATGTCAGACAAGCTTCAGAATCCTTGCCTCCAAGGAGAAGCCTGGTTTCACCCTCTCTAGCATGAACCTGTTTGTTCTCTTAGCAGTCCATGGTATATTCAATACTATAAGTTGCAAATGACTTGAAGGCAAGTAACAAGAACAGTTATAGGGGGCTCTGGTGGCCTAGTGGCAAGAAACTGTGCTGCAATCAGGAAGGCATCAGTTCAGGGCCACCAGCTAGCTGCTCCACAGGATAGGCAATCTAATCCCATGTGATTAACTGGCTCTGAAAGCCCACCAGAGGGTCAGCTATGGATCGTTCTGACTCTTCAGTGTAACGGAGCAAGTCCCCAAAAAGATCACCGAGCCAATTAGCCAAATGAACAAAGTTTATTTAGACAGTTGGACAATGACTAGGGAGGACAGAAGGAGAGTGGATGCTTTTGAGCTGTGGTGCTGGAGAAGAGTAACGAATGTACCATGGACTGCCAGGAAAACAAACAGATTCATCTTGGAGAGGATTAAACCAAGCTACTCCTTGGAGGCAAGGATTCTGGGGCTTCGTCTGACATACTTTGGACATGTTGCCAGGAGGGACGGGTCCTTGGAGAGGGACATCATGCTTGGGAGGGTGGAGGGAGAGCACAGGAGGGGAAGACCCTCTATGAGGTGGATTGACTCAGTGACTGGGGTAATCGGGATGGGTGTGTCAGAGGCGGTGCAGTTGGCACAGGATAGAGCAGGGTTTAGGGCTGTTGTGCATAGGGTCGCTATGAGTCGAAAACGACTCGACGGCAAATAACAACAAACAACAACATTTAGAGTTCGAACCCGGGTTCCCGCGTGCTGACACACAGCATCCACCCGGGAGCCCCGAATTGATGTCTGCCCCTCCTTTTATACCTCTACTACTCCCCTGACCAACCATACACGCCATGATTGGCCATCCACAGTAGTTTGGGTATTTGTCCACCTTCAATTGGCTAGCCATAGCTCAGGGTAACAGTTTGGAAACCTATTTTAATCTTATCGATTACTTCAGATACAGGAATGTGGCAAACTCCTTGTGCTCTTACAGAGAAGAATTCCACTTTATGGCAGTTGATCAATCAGGATGGAATTCACCACAGGTGGGGGTTGGTTGGTTGTTAAAAAACCACTCAAGCAGGTGGGGTGGGGTTAACTGTACCAGAAACTGAGTTTCTGATAACTGGTCCTTTCATTCAGTGCACAACAACATATAAGTTATTATTCTAGTAGTATATTGATGGGAATTATTATATCCAGCATTTTGCTATCATCAAATAACCTTGTACGTTCACTATACATTCTCTCTTCAATTCAGACATGAATGATTTAGCCAGATATGGTTCACCTTTTGATACCATCTTAATTATCTAGTCTGCTATAACAGAGATACCATAAGCCAGTGGTTTTAACAAATAGAAATTTATTCTATTAGAGGCTATAAGTCCAAATTCAGGGTGCCACCTCTAGGGAAAGGCTCTTGTGTGTGTTGGCTGTAAGGAAAAGTCACTGCTGTTCCTTGTTCTAGAATGTCAAGTTGACTACTTATACAGAACAGCAGATCTGAACTCTGCCCTACATAAGAGTGTGCCTTAGGGATCTTCAAGTGTGTAGCTGAGAAACTATCCTTAGAAATCCTTACAAATATTTGGTTTATCAGATCATGGGGGATATACAGCTGGGAGAACTGCAGCCCCTATGCTATGCCTTTCTGGGTTTTTATTGAGAATCATCAGGAAGATAAAAGAAAGTCACAAGAGAATAGTAAAAAAAAAAAGGATCATGGGGAAGTCTTTTTTAAATTAGGCCCAATTAGGCAAGCTCTGGTGGCCTAGTGGCAAGAAGGTGTACTGCAATCCCAGAGGTGCATGGTTCAAATCCACCAGATGCTGTGCTGAAGAAGGAGGAACAATCTCCTCCTGTACCAGTCAGATCTGATTTGACGGTACACACACACACACACAAATAAAATAAAATAAAAATGAAAAAAAAATTAGGCCCAATTATTCTCTATTGTTTACCTTACTTCAGGAAGGAGGGATTCAGTAAATACAAACTAAAAATTATGTAGTGTCACAAAGTGAATTCTAGCTTGTATACGCCTCCGTCATATCCTGAGAGAGCGTTTGGTTTATTATTAACATTACATTTTATATTAGGCTTCCCACATTATAAGACAAAAATGAAAAAGACAAAACATCATGGGTGGTATTTTGTTGTTGTTAGGTGTCAATCAATTACAGCTTATAGTGACCTTATGAACAACTGGGAGGACCCTAGCCCTTTCCTGCGTCATTGTTTCTCTGATAGACTCAAGCCCACTGTTAAAGACATCGTGTCAATCCATTTCGCCACCTTCTTTTCCTGGCCCTTTACAAGCATCCATTGACATTAACGAGATATATATACTGAACCAACTCAGCTCTGTCAACTGCTGCCTAAAATGCTCACAACTGATATTCGTTCCATATTTATTACGCATCCACACAATGCGACTAAGCCTTTCCAAATGAGAAAGGTTCAACAAGTTGAGCTAAAGTCAGTGACAGTTAAGTCAGCCACGTGATTCACTCTTGGGGTGGGAGAGAATCCTCACGTTAATGATTTAGACGTGTGAAGAAAAGCGTGGCGGTCCTCCTACTGCCCTACGAGGCTAATGTGTAGGTTCTGACTCACCCTGCGCTCGGAAGACCTGTCGGACAGAGGAACCATAGAAACTTCCGTCTTCCCGACTCTGGCACCGCCTCCCTGACGTCATCCGCGCGACGAGGCGCGCTTTTCCCAGTGACCTTCACGGCCGCGGCGGAAGGTCGCTGCCTGTCCGCTGATTGGTCGCGCCCTGCGGCTCTCCCCGCCCCTCGCTTGCTCTTGTCTATTTGGCTCGATCGCTGCGGTAGGACTTCAGTGGTTTCTGCTTCTGGAAGAATCTCCTCCGTGAACTTACGATGCCGCGTGGAAGCCGCAGCCGCACCTCCCGCATGGCCCCTCCGGCCAGGTAAGGCGGCCAGCGCGGGCATCGGACAGTCCGGGCGCCATGACGAGGGCAAGGCCGCCCGAGGGCTCTGTCCGTCGGCGTCGGCTCGGGAAGGCCGCGGGG